ACATTCAAATAACTTGGAATTTGCTGTCGGAAGAGTAAATCGCTTGCGAACTCTGAGGCATTAGTTGGAATTATTGGGCTTACGCTATTATTTACTGTAAATAACAACGCAATAATACCTGTTTAAGCAGTGAATGTTAATCTTTTAGTGAGGGATATGGTATGGTATTACTAAATGAAAATAATAATTCCTATTTCAATAGTAGGCAATTTTTTATCAAGAATTGATCACTGGATTTTGTCAAATTCTTCAACTTTCAAACAATACTTATAACAAGTAAATATCATTTAAAATTATTATAACATAAGTAACAAAATATTAAGCGAAGAAAAGTGATAATTTTATGTAATTCTTTTTAACGTATTGATTTTCGAATTAAGATGTTTATAAAATATATAAATTAAAAAAATTATATTCAATGTTGTATCTAATTTCATCAAGTTGAATAAATTTCGTTAATTTTTGTTAATACAATAGAATTTAATATTTGTTTGTGCTCATATCGATTTAATGAATAATTTTTTCAAATTCTTTCTTAATATAATATTAAATGGATACAAGAAATTGTTTCGTATTTATATAGATAAAGTTGAAAACAGAATCTTAGTAAAATTGCCTTGGGGCTTTAGTATACCTTTTTTTTTTTATCTATAGAGAGAAATTATTGAATCTCCTTTTTTCAAAGTATTTTAATTTTCTAATTCAATCATCAAAGCTGAATAGAAAAACGATCAGCTTTTTGTATCAATCAAACAGTACTAATAGAGATTAACGTTTGTAAAGTGACTTATATGAATAAATTGAATGAACAACAAACGAATAGAGAAAGTAAATAAAATGTTCAATTCGCATTCAATCTACTTCGTTCGTAATAGTACGTCAAAGAAAATTCCAAATAAATTTAATTTCGCGTTTATTATTCGATCATTGTTCATTCGTTATACGCGTATATACGTATATACCATCATCTTAATCCCTATACTACAATACGGCTTTAATATCCGTACATTGTGGAATTAGTACGCACGTTTAGTCAACGGTTTATCTCTCGATGACCATTCTCACAAGGAAGATCAACATGAGAACGCTCTGTATGCATATAGAACGTGCATATATTCACCGAGATAATTACTTTTCTTAATTAAGGAGCAACATCGAATATAAGCAGTGTCAGCATTATTCAGTTCCTGACATTCGCGGTTTCTCATCGACGCATTCGAACAGGTTCAGTTGTGGAAGAAGAGATCGAAAGGAAAGTCGAGGGGCCGTTCACATGGATCCGCCTCCGCCATCTCCGCTATCAAGGAGAGGGGGAGAGAAGAGAGACCGATGACGTATGTCATTAAAAACGTATTTGCTTATCTTGTAGATGCGGTAACGGCCGTTGACGACCCCACACGATCATCGTGATTCTGCGATTCTTTTTTGCGATACGGTAATCATTAAAGTCCTGGATTCCTATTACATCTGATTTTGAGTTATATTTGCTCAAGTCTCACTCTCTAAAATCTTTGAAGTGGAATTTAATTCACAGAGTGAAGACTCACTCTTAAAAATTGTCAACTGAGCTACTCTTTTTCAACACTGGCTCAACTGTCACTCTTTGCCACTCTTCGGAATTAGATTCCACTCCAAAAGTTTAAAATAAATCCCAATCGCGTTTTTTTTTTTTACATAAAAATACGCGATTGAGATTTATTTTAAACGGACAAAAGTCTCGATGCATAGCGACATTTGCGGTTAAACCAAGAGAACCGCTAAAGTTAATTTACAGAATTTTTATAATAGAAAAATGGAATTTTTAGAACTGATATATCAACTCTTTGAGAATTACATAGATAACTATACATCAATTATGTAATACATGGAATATGTGTCTACTAATTCCTATCTACTAATAAACTCAATCTTGTATACCAAAATTCCCCAGCGGTTAACCCCAAAGCTATACGCGTTTAATGTCTGAAGGCAAAGCAGTAGTTATGCCAGATGCACCCTTTGACTATGTAACTATGAAGATGCCACCGGTACCTGTATACAGATTTGCATCCAACATTTCAGTGCTCTCATGTCGCAGCAGCTAAATATAGAACGAGATAACATATTCGCTTCTATCTCGCTTGAATACATTTGATCGGAACACGGTGAGAAACTTGGTGTCGGAAAAGTTAGATACGGTGGATACAGATCTTATCGATAAAGTGCGGTACTTTACAGATACGTGATCAAAGAATGTATCACATGTGCAGCTCTTCAAGAATTTTTCATAACTGAGATCGTACGTTCTGTTTCACACAAGAGAATAAAAATATAGAATCATTCTATATCCTTAAAAAAAAAAAAAAGAAACATTCTGTAAGTACGATTTCCACGAATTGAATTTAAAAAATAAGTTAATTTAGTAAACAATTATCGTTCAGCAAAACAAAAATACAAATATATAATTTTTAAACCTGCCGGAAAATATTGTTTAGTAAAAATATAATATCCTTATTATATAATATACTTTTAAGCTCTTTTATGTTTAATTTCTATACATTACTAATATTTATTGCGAAAATTGAATTGTTACATAAATGTAAAGATAAGATCAAAACTGAAAGATATATGCAAGTCTCTAAAAAAAGTATAATAATACACGTGTATAAACGTTCTAAAGATATGATACTATTACATAAATGTAAAGATAAGATTAAAACTAAAAGCTAATATGCAAGTTTTTAAAGATAATATATATAATACGTTCTGCAGATATGATATGCTTTTAAATGGCCGATACAGTTTTGCAATTTCCATACTCAAACGATACGGAATATGATCTGCGTTGGTATTCGCATATGAAACGTACCCAAATCTCGTTTAAGCATACTAACGAAACAAATGGGACGCGAGATACATACAATTTATGGCGACGAAGCATTGTATTCGTATACACGTGATATAGAGAAATCCGCTAATTAATACCGTACCGTTAATTGCGATCGGTTCGATTAGCGGGCAGACATAGGACGGTCTGCGCTGTGAAACGTGTCGATTAATATCGATTACATTCATGTCTATTACGACACGTGGCCAACTCGACGCTGTAAAATCGTATGAGGCGATAACGAGATCTAATTCTGTCGCGCATTGCATAATGAATAGCGAATAACAAGGAACGAGCAATGACTGTTGTCACCTGTCATTCTCTCCGAGAATGCTGTCGTGTTTCCTCGCTGGTGTAAAATGGAACACGATCGCATTACAATAATGGCAATTGATTATTTTTGTGATTATCCATGTAATTGAGTAATTAAAACGTACATAAGTACTCGTAATTTAAAATGATTTTTAATCAAGCATATTTATAATCGAATTTTCAATACATTTTATTAAATTGTACATAAATGTGTTTAATACCAAATAGTCTAAAAATTTATAATGTTGAAAATAAGCTTTGTTCGTTCAAGAAGTAGAATATATGAAATATTAATGGTATATTAATAGAACGGTTTCAATGTGTTTCATTAACATGAATTTATATTAACTATTCAATATCCCAATATTCCATAATTAGTTTACAAATGTTTTAGTCAACAATTTATACATCATTGAATCATAACTGAAACGCGATAAATGAAATATACGATGTTGCTGGCAAATTTCACATGAATATGACAAAAACATTCTTTCCAAAAAACATTTTATTATCATTTAAAGTGTGTGAATTAATTACAATGGAATTTACCTTCAAGCTAATAAAATTGTTTTATATCTTTGGTAAATTCAGACGATAATTGAGTCAACTAATGTGAAGGTTCTTATAAGAAGGTTCTTATAAAGATATTGTTCGAGAATTTTCTTACATCTAAAATATTTTTCGTTTCACTCAATTCATCACACAATGCAGAGTTTGAACAGAAATTTACCAAAGGCGACGGAAAAAGTTTAATAATAGAAACTTTCTATAATTTTAATATTTTTAAATCAAAAAGCTCGATAACTTTTAATGAGAGAATCCATTGCGGAATTTTAATATACATGATAGAAGAATTAATAGATTGGCGAATATTACTTGAACGAGGCATTGTTTACTTAATATCCGCCGATATCCGCATTCCTACATAAATAATACTCATTATTTTAATTAATAATCAACTCAATTTGTTCGAGCTTCATCAGAAATTACGAGGAAACAGGTACTAGAAAGTTCCGTTAAAATTACATACTTTAACCAAAAAGATTATTGTAAAATATGAAGATAAAATACATCCGATTTTTCCCAAAGTTGTAAAAGCATTCATGTTTCACCGTTGTCTGCACTGTACTATATATATTCGCTTTTGTCCCTTTAACAAGTCGTTGGTTCAAACTTGCACTGTGTGTCATATTTTTCGTCCCTTCCGGCTTCTCGGTTTACTATGTCGTCTCTGTCGAGTTGTTGGAGCGAAGCATAGATGCAAGAAATTACGTGTGGTCGCAGATAGTCGTTGCGTTATATCGTTACGGATCAATTATCTCAGTAATGTAGGATATTAAATTTCTCCTTTTTTTCTGTTTTTCATATCACTCACCTTTTCCAATTTCCTTCCCTCTCCTTCTTCCACCTTCTCTTTTTCTCTTTCCGTCTCTATGTCGAGTTAACCCGGTAGCCTACTTCTCGATGCCAACAGCCCATAGGCTTTCGAAAATATTCCACACGGCTGTTTCCAATGCGGTCACTTTAACGCAAGGTGCCAAAAGGTAACGACAATAACCAACTTAAGATTTTTGTGCCAACCATTGACGAGACTTTTCTACACGAAAGACGGAATGCGGTTTCAAAAAATTTGATCGTATCCCCGGATTAAGATGAACTAAAGTAAATCTTAGGTCTGTTTTTTATGGCTGAACTAGTGTACACTTTTGGAACTTAAAGTTAAATGGATATAGAGTTGATATTTGACGAAAATGAGAAAGAGAGTTCTAGTCCAGGAATAAAAAAACAGACCTTTTGAGAGAAGTATATTGAATCCACTCACCACGTCGGCAACGTTGCCGGAGCCCTCCCTCATGCCATCCCTGTCCGTGTGTCCTTCTGAAAAATAATAACACATTTGTCAGTAAAGATATTATGTATTCTTTCATCAAGATATAAATATTCAATTTCGCGAAGATGCATCTCTCTTAATCTTCTGCGACATATATTTTTCTACTAGTTCAATTTCAACAAAATTTGATATTCGTGAGATTTTTGGGAAGATTGAGATGTGATGATATTATACTTTATAAAGAACTCAAGTATTACAAAAAAAGGAGTAAAAAATGTAAAAAAAATGTAAAAAATTTGTAAAAATCGTAACGACTGAACAGAATATAGGTATGTAACTATGCCGCAAAAAAGTTAATCAATTGATGTACGTTTTCACTAATGGATTGGATTGGAATGAAAGTCCCAGCGCTACTTCATTTGCATCATGTATACATGTTAAAAAAAAAACACTTTAGCATTTATACCATAGAACAGATAGATAGAGCAAAGTTTCAGCTTTAACAATCTATTTAATTTTTTTTTTAAATTGCGGTATCTTTTATTTCATGGAATTACGAGCAATCAAAGTTAAAATGCTCCTTTTATTTAATCCCCAATAATTCGATAACAAAAAATTTTAGGGACACTTAAAAAACAATTTTGTTAGGAAAACTTTAAACTTTTACTACATTAGAAAGTGGAAAATTTTCGTAAGTTTTTTTTTCACGTAACAGGTCCATAAATTGAATAGAAAATTTTCCATTTTGTCATACAGTTTTCTATATGTAAAAATTATCAAATTCACAGAAATTTAAAAGACACACTGATCTTCCAAAAGTGGGAATTTTAAGCTTTAAAACTTTATTTTAAATTTAAATTTCGTTTATTTTTAACAAAGTTACAGCTGTTTGAATTTTGAAGTTCGTAACGCTACGAACTTTTGTTCTAACCCAATAAATTAACTTTAATCTCAACTCAACTTATTTTTCATCTTTTTAGAATTTCTAAAATTAGCAAAAGAAGAGCAAATTGAATCAAAATTAAAATTAATCTATATCGATAAAAATAGACGCGAGATTTATTGATATTTTTTACATATAGAAAACTGTATGACAAAATGGAAAATTTTCTATTCAATTTATGGACCAGTTACGTGAAAAAAAAACTTACGAAAATTTTCCACTTTCTAATGTAGTAAAAGTTTAAAGTTTTATATATAACTATTTAAGAACTGTTTGCTGTACAAATCTGCGTCTCTCTGAATAGAAATGATGCCGAGGCGAAATTCGAATCGACGAAGCACGAATCGCCGCAGATTCCAAACTGCGAACAATAAAGATAAAAGATTGCTAAAAGAAAAATGGAAAATGCGCGAGGAAAGAGGAAAAAATATGTTATTCGATTCATATGCAACACAAGTTGTCCGCATATTTCGTCAAATTATTAGAGTGGACGATAATAAGCGATAATTAATCAGAGATATTGATGGAAATTGCGAAATAATCGATTTTGCGAACGTGAAAAATTTTTCCGTCAGATTTCCGCTGTATGTCACATAACGGCGACCATTGAAACAGAAAATTCTGTTCGTGCGTTTCGTGCAGCATCTTTCAGATGTAAATACAGCTAATAAAGACAAATGGATTCAGCAAACGGAGTGCTGCCACTGGCGAACAGTAGATCCGGAATTTTTTCAAGTCGCGTGCTCTTATATTTTCCTGCATATTAGTCTCTTCAAAATAAAGCAGAAACTCTAATCAGACTATGAAATTTTTATGTTGGGGGATGCTAACTTCACATACATTTCCTGCATACAGAACGAAATAAGTTCATGAGATTCAGACTTGGATGGGACTTCCTCAAAGAGAAGATTTAAATAAAATATGTAAATAAGCGGTAAAAAATGTATATAAAAAAAATAAATCAAGGAAAAACCGCTGAAATGAAAAAGATAAATTGACTCATTAGTCAATGCAATGACCATATAATATTTACAAATTTTCCGGGCAAAAATATTCTTAAATTGTTAATTAAGGCAAAAAAATATTTTTTGTATAACTAATATAGTTATCTATTAATTAGCAATATTCTTCATTAAAAAAGTCTAGAGAGATTAATTTATAACTTAAAATGTGTTCTTTTCCGAAAAAATGTTTTGAATCGGTGTACACTGGCAATAAATTACAATAAAACAAATATAGAATAATTTGTTTCACTTCAACTTATTGCATAAATATATACCGGTTCAGAACATTCTTCAAAAAGAAACCTCTAGGCTTATAATTTAAACACTCATTGTAAGAAGAAACAAAGTACTGCTGGTAAGTCTATAATATGAATGTGAAGTTGAAGACCACGCAAACCAGTTTATAAAGTTAAGAATAAAAGTAATTGTAAAGACTATCAAAATACAATCATGGTTATAAATATAACTTAATATTTGCTGCGACAATACTAAGAAACTGTTAGCCAAACTATCTTGATGTAGTTGGACCGTCGCTTCGTTAGTACAAACTAAAATAGTGATGAAACAACAAGACAATAATATAGTTATATAGACTTTAAGTACAAGAATTCGTAATAGACTGTGACGATTATACTTAGTTTAGAAATAATTTCTTAAAATGAATCAAACGATACAATGCATACAAACTTTTTGTATGAATAACATATTCGTATTTTTCGTTAATATAGCTATACAGCTTATTTTTGTAATCTATTCAATAATTATTACATGGAAAAGAGAATTTAAATAGCATCATCGAATGTTTATTATGCAGATGCAGAGTATCCGGTCTTTTTCTATCGATCCAAATAATTCATCTAACAACTTTCATCTAAACTTTAAATCTAAATAAATCCTACATTGTTATAATCATATGAAAATCGATACAATTATTTTTAAAGACACATCGATGACAACGTAAATGCACTGCACCCGTTACACCCCTCGGTTTGAAACGATTCTGAGTTCAGACAAATATTTTTATTTTTGTAGTTCAACTACAATTACTGCACAGAAAGGATGATTTAATCAAATTTTTTAATGAGTCAATACATTGACAAATTTTTGTGTAAATAACGTATTTTTCGTTAATACAGCTATCTTATTTTTTTTTGAAGTCCAACTATAATTACGACGGATAAATAAGAAGGATTTCATTTAAAAATTTAACTAAATATACAGTAAAAAAATTGCAAATTTGTATTAGAAACGGTCCACTCAAGTCCTCGTTAAAATTTTGTATTGAATTTTTAATATATCGGATATTAATTTAATGTAATATAATTATATTATTTAAATAATTTGTGTTAAATTGATATTCAAAGAATTTCTTAGTATCAGAATAATATAGTTCTTGAGTAAATAAATAAATAATATAAAAATGTATTTTAAAACATATAAATTCTAAGATGAATAAAATATATGTTAATTTAACATATCATAAATGTTAATTATAATGAAAAAAATATACTTCCACGGTTTGTTTTTACAAACTGTATCAGTATTACTTTCTTTGGGCTTTTAATATAATCTATTTTTGTGCTACTTTCTAACATATTCATCTTGTACTTAAATCTTATATTTAAATTTAAGTGGACCGTGTAAGACATGTAAAATGTGTTAAATTTAACACAAATTTTTCAACGGTATCACAGATGTGAAAATAATTTTGTTTGATCAAAATAATTATTAGTTCAATAGAGTGGCTGAATAAGATGGCTAATTGTAATTAAGCCAAAACATCCTGTCTTATGTATTTATATTAAATAAAATTTTTAGTAATTTAACACTAATTTTTGCTCGCCCTCTTATTATTTATTCATATATTGTTGTAGGTATACGAGCGAATTTTGTTTACTTTTCAAAATAATTATGAACGCTCAAACTGATTACTAAAATGTCAAAACTTTGTGCAGGACTTTTGCTCGTCATGCTTGAGATTCATATGCAATTATTTTAATAGTCCAACAGAATTATTTTCACGTCTAGTTAAATTTTTAAATTCAGTAAAATCGTTCTTTCTATGTACAGACGATTAACATTATATTTTCTTATTTTAGATTGATTGATTCCGCTTGTAATTTCGTAGTTGAAATGTGTTATCTACTTTCTTCAATTTTCTTGTTGCTATACTGTTTTTTTTTTCTTATATATAATACAAGTTTCGAATTAGAAATCACTATCAGCTTTCATAAACACGCCGGAATCGACGCAATCGTTTTCCTGAAGTGTAAAGGCTTTTTAACTCTCAGGCGGGGTCAGCTTTTCCTCGCGATCGCGAAATGGGGTCTCGCGAGCGGCAGAATTGTGTGTTCCGCTGCTACACCGCTTTCTCGCGAAAGTACACTAACCGGAGAGCGTACGTGATGGCGAAATCGGTTCGAATCGACACGACAGCGGCGAGTTGCTACCGTAATGCGTTCAATCAGGATTTTACAGCTGCTATGCTTTACTCGAGATTAAAGTTTCCTTCAAAGCATTGTCAAACATTAAAAAGGTGCGAAATCAAATTTTTTTTGATCATTGACCATTGACTTTTTTTCACCATTTGCCTTTAAGTCTAGAATGCGGAAAGATGTATTTATTGGAGTTTTATTGGCAATCTGTTTTCCGAGCGGCACCGATCTCTCTAAATTTCTTGGAGTTAAATCTCACTTCAAAAGAATGAATAGCACTATTGAAAAAGAGTGAAAATATTTGCACTCTTGAATAAGAGTGGCAGATTTTCACTCTTTTTAGAGGGGGGGGGGGAGGGGAGGATGAGATTTCACTTTTTTAGGGTGAGAGTCACTCCAAAGGAAGGAAGTCTTATTCTAAAGGATTGAAATCTTACTCCAAAAAAAAGTTAAAATCAGTTACTCTTATTCAAATATTTTCACTATTTTTTAATAATGGCAGTATTTTTTCAAAGTTTAGAGGATCATGTGGAACCGAGATTGTTTATATCATTCAATAAATAAATTCCGAAATAATGGAAATTAGCCACAATTTGATCAGTTATATCTCGAAAATTTAGTTTTAGGAGGTCGTGCTCATTGATACTTTTATAAATCAGAACATGAAACTACAATTTCCCAAAATATGAGAAGATTTGACCGAGAACCAAAATTCATAAGAAATGTGTAGGGTTCTTTAGAGAGTATATTAGAGAGTAAATTTCTCTATTATTTTTATAGTATATAATGTTTTTCAAAAATAAGGCTCTTGTACTTTCCAACCGAACTTCTTATATTAACTTCATGTTTTCTCCTTTTCTTTTCATGATGGAGAAAAAGATAAAGGAGTTGCAAGAAATTCAGTTAAAACTCAGATAGAATATAGAATATATCATAATAAAATCATTAAGATAACATCAGTTAAAGTTATTTTAAGAAAAGTCATAATAATAATATTTGATATACTTTTGACGATAATTGTGGTAAATGTATTTAACATGATAATGTTATTAAGTAATTTCTTACAATTAGTTAAAAAATTATTTAAAAATAATTGTTAAAAATTAATCACAAAATGAACAAAATGTACAAATGTACAAAATGAACAAATTGAACAAAATGTATCGAATTCCCTTACTTTAAAAATAATATAACTTGTTAAAAAATGTAATATTCGAGTTATTACTGTAAGTAAATTACAATAGAAAAATGTAGGTATGTTAAATTTAAAACATTCACGATCTACTCAAAATTTCATGTCCACTCAAATTTTTGTGTTAATTTAACACAAAATCAATCTAGTGAGACAGTAACACAAATATTATGTAAAAAATTAACACAAAAACACTGACACAATTTGTAAATAAACTCTGGAAGCATTCTTTCAAAATTATGTGTTTATATTTCGAATGTGTCATTTTTAACAAATTATCCTTGATTTGTTACAATATTTTATAGAATATCCAAATCATCACGACTCAAAAAGGATAATATTTCAAGAATTGTGAAATAAAAATGACGAAAATAACATTGATCATGTTTCTAAGAATATATTTTTTTGCTAGTAATATTTGATTAATCAATAATTTTTTCAGGTCAAGTTGAAAAATAGTTTTCTTTTCTGGAAAAAACTTATTTTTTTTACTTGTATCACTTTTGAGGTAAGAAAATCAAAAAAACAATTCCCAAATTGATTTCAACTTTACATCATCTTGATTTTTATTATTACGATTTTATATTTTACTTAAGAGAAAAAAATCTATTAAACGTAAATTCATCAAGAAGACAACAGTTAGAATCTAAGATTTTAGCAAACTAGGGTGATCAAACTATTCGAAAGCCAACGTTGAAACTGTTTGATCGATCATGTTCGACCGACTCGAACGACTCGAACGAGACACGAAGAGCAACACGAGCATAAATAAACGTTCATCGTAAACGGAAATAACTGGTTTCTCGTACGTTCTCCTCGAATCGAGATCGGACAACTTTGCCCGAATTCGACTCGATTTCGGTAAAGCGAATCTAAAGCCTTCAAAGGAAATCTCGGAGTTCTCTCGAGCTCCATCACAAACACTCTCGATTTCTCTGTTTACTTTACAAACGGGCACTCACCTTTTTTACGAATTGGCAAAATCTTGGCGATCCTCGACGCGCCCGCGTAATCCAGATCTCGATCGAGGACTGCCGCCCCCTTCACTCCGCCCACCGTCGTTGATTCCGATATTCCGTTTTCCGCGATCGCGATCGCGCGCAACGCCGATCCTTTCCTCTCTCCTTTTCCCCCCTTTTTCTGGAGGGAAGGCCGCTCTTTCTCTCCCAACGGCACAATCCTAACCTTACACCGATACACACACACACACACACACACACACACACCACTATAGTAACATACGCGACCGGAAATTCCCGTCAATTTCCGCGACTCCGTCGCACACCTTCGCACTACGATCACTTAATCCACGACGATTAGAAATTGCAGAATATTTCGTTCATTGATCAACTCGATCCTTCTTTTTCTTTTTCTCTTTCTTTCTTGCTTTCTATATATCACATACGAAGCGATCAGTAGATAAAGACACTAAATCGGTGATCCACAGGCTCACTTCACTCGCGCGCGATTCCATCCGAATTCGTTGGGCCGTCGTGCCGAGCCGCCGTTCGAAAGCGGCGAAAATCTCGGAGAGTTTCGGCATTCTCCGCCGTCGCGCGCGAATACGAGAAAAAACGCGCCTTGTCGTGGATCGCTCTCTGAGGCGTTCTTTCGCAGCGTCGGCGTCGCGACGCGTCGCGTCGCGTCGGAATTACGACGGCCGCGACGCGCGCTCGTGATTCCGAGCCGAAGTTAGAAGCGAGCGAGAAAATCGATTTTCGTTGAAATCACCGGCGTTGACGATCCGTGCGACTGACTTCGCGAATTGAACAAAGAAGAGGCACGGCCGACCGCGAGATCGTCTACCTGTCATCGAAGAATTCAAACTTTCCGCTGGAAACTCGTGCGCATTCGCGCGTACTTAGAAACTTTTAGATCTGTTTTTTACTACTGCACTCTGAACGTATATTTGTTTCACTTCAATTTATTGCATTTTGTGTATTAGTTCAGAAAGTGCAGCGATAAAAAACAGACCGTTTGTATGAAAATCTGGCAACGAGCAAATCTGTCAGAACAAGAGTGAGAAAGAAGGATAGATGTAATGTTTCTTTTTGTACAAAGAGTGTCTCAAAACTGATAAATATTTTTAAGAGAGATTGTAATATTTTAAGACGAATGGACTTTTAACAATAAATCGTTATTTACTTTTTAAATTCTTTGAAATAGGCTCTCATTCTAAAGAGTGAAAATTGAATGTTGAGTCAGTCTTAAATGGAGTGGCTCAGTTTTCAATCTTTAAGAGTGAGATTACACTTTTCAAAGTTTTTATTTTAAAAGTTTTAAAGAGCGATCTTTAAGTTTTAAACTGTAAGAAATTGATTAATTGTAATCAATATGAGAAGAATAATTGACTATGATTAATCAATTTTTTACGTCTTAAAACTGAAAGTTAAGTAACGGTTTATTGTAGAAAACTTAGAAAAGTTTAATATGAGAAAATACTGAGGTTAAGATAGTTTTAAAAAAGCAGAGTTTAAAAATTACAAAACAAAATTACATTAAAAACAAATAAGACAAAATTAGAATTATTTTTGCAAACTTAGGGATAGCAAGAGGATTAGTTCGATGTTGAATTTTCTTATTGTCAAAGGCATGAAATTCGTGGACCTTCACATTGTCTTCTTGCTATCTTTGAGCACGCGAGATTCTAATCTTTAAACTCTTTCTATTTGTGAAAATCATCATAATCATTCATAACTTTAGACTCTTTGTTTTTCTTAAAATGAGAAGAATGTCTTTAAAATATTTATCGTTAATTTTGGGACACCTTATATATATTATCTCATTCTTATACTACTCTCTAAAACTTTTAGAGTAAAAAAAAAATCTCATTTTCGAGAGTGAAATCTCACTGTTAAAGATTGAAAATTGAACCACTCTTTTTCAAAACTAACTCAATTTTCATTCTTAGACATACATTTCACTCCAAAGAATTTAGAAAGTAATCACTCATTCTAACTTATTAAAGTTTACAAAAACGACGGGCCAATCAAAAGTTTGTCACCTCGTGACCAGAGGATCAATCATATAACAATTTTTCCTTAGGATAGAAATATGAAAAGTGAATTTTTTTGTATTATGTACTATGTATTACGTATTACTATACATTATGTATTATGTAATACCTGAATACATACATAAAAATTTTCACTTTTCATGTTTCTACGATAATCAAGATCCAAAATTCTGTTAAACCGTAATGATGGATTACATGATGGATTGCCAGTTGCGGTTCTCGATTGAGGATTCTATTTTAGTCAATGACGTTATAGCTAGTTCGTATTAACTGCACTGTGATTGGCTAAAGTAGAACAATCAACCGGCAACCTGAAATGACGGTTTTACAACTAGAATACCGTCAACGTGCTGCAAAATGCTTTGAAACATTCTTTCATTGATCAATTAGTAAAATTCTTTCTTTTGATTGGTCAATCAAATACTGCACAGCATTTATAATGAGACTATTGGTGATTTCTAGCAAAAGATAATGCAATACAATAATTATGTTCAGCAGAATATTTATTTTGCAATTGTTGGAAGTTTTCTTCGCGTTGATTGGACTAAATTTACGCAGATCTAAGAATATAATCTAATTAGTGCGAAGAAAATTTCCAATAGTTGCAAAATAAACATTCTGCTGAACGCAGCCAATAATCATTTTATCTTTGTTTAATACTGACAAACAATAAGACTGTAATAATTCATTGTGTTCATTGTGTATTATTGCCTGATTTTATACTGAACTTTACTAAATGTAAATTTACTAAATATTTACTTAAATAACTAACTAAATATTAACTTACAATAAATAAATATTTACTCAATAAAAAATGACACTTAAATTAATAATTCTTATACCAAATAAAATATGTTTACATTTAGTAAACATTTAATAACTATTCAAACAAATATTTATTAAAATTAGTACATATTTTTACAATGTAGTTTAATTACAATCTCAATTCAATTCTCCATCAAGTCTAAGAATTAGAAAGAGATACATGAAGAGTAAATTGAAATTAATATACATTAATAGAAACGGGCATGTGTCATCTGTGTATTTCGCTAGAAAGCATCCTTTGACAGCACTCATCAGGGTTTTTAATATAGATCGCTCGCGAATCTGTGAATGAATATTCCATTCCGTCCAAAAATCGAGGCTATCTTATAAAAAGAAGTTTTCCCAAGAATTCGCTGCGAAACGTGCCGAAAAGAGATGCTTATCGCGCGACGATGACAAGTTGCGTTGTGTCGCGGTAACTTCGTTCGACTTGAGACTCGTGCGGGGAACGTGAGGAACGTATAAGACGGGCGGGACGCGATCGGATGGCTTTCTCAAAATTGTCCATACGGCGTGGCGTCGACGCGACGGCCGTGGATTTTCTCGTCGTTCTTATGACGAAGTTATAACGGGCGAAAAAGAAGCGAGGGACGGTGACGAAGGGTAACCGAAGGGAAAAAGAGCGGAAGGCGCGAGGGGGGGAATATACGACTTTTCAAAAATACCACGCGCCGACCAATCGCGGTACACACGCGTATACGGTGATTCGGCGCGGCCGCGATTTACCGACGGGACCACCGACGAGAGCAGGACGAAGAAGAAACTCAAGAAACGAAGCCGTTACGCGCGCGAGTGCGCCTGCTCGCTCTCCCTCTCTCTCTCTCTCTCTCTCTCTCTCTCTCTCTCTCTCTCTCTCTCTCTCTCTCCTTCCCCCCCCGCCACACACACACACACACACACAAATACACGCGCACCTCAATTCCGATATACGTGTGTACGTTGCCCGCAAGCGTACGTTACGCGCGCACACAACGCACACGCACGAACGATTGTCGTTTTGCTAAAGCAGCGTAGGAAGGCCAAGCGCTGACGCGTTAGAGAGAATTCAACACAGACGCGCGAGAAATGCGCGAGCGCACCGCGATCGTGTCACCGCGCTGGTGGCGGAGTGCGGACGCGTTCTTGCCTTGTGCGCGTTCTCTCCCGCGTCCTCGCTCGCGTTCGCGCACGAGCGATGGCCCAACCGGTGTCGGTCCGTCACGATTGTCGCGTCCGCGCACGCTCCTACGACGCGACAGACTTACAAACTGCGACGGCGGCAGCAGCAGCGACGACAACGATGACCGATGACGAAGGGACAATTTCGGACCCCTCGAGGAACCGAGACGTTACGTCCGGTTTCAACTTTGTAGCGCGAGCGGACGGGATCGTCCGTCCGACCGACCGACCGACCGACCGACCAACCGACCGACCGGCCGAGGTAACTTAAACTGAACGCCAGCGCGCCTACGGTAAACGAGATTAAACCTACGTGCCGGTGAAGCCGCCGCCGTTGGCCAATCCGTGCCCGGCTTTACGCCAATCGACCAATCAACGTAAGGTCTAACCTGGCGAACGGTTATCCCAGGTGCAGCCAGTGAGGCGCCATTGCGCTGGCACGTTACCTGCTCCAAGTATGCGGCGAAACGTGGAGGGGATAAGAGCAAGGGTACGAGAGACAATATGCGACATGTGTATGATGTGTAGGGGAGAGAAAGAGATGAAGAGTGTTTGGAGAAACGGCCGAATTACGCCGGACTCTCGGAAGAGAATCGTATCGGACACGACGCGGCGTCTTGTTCCTCCGCTCCGATCTCACCAAGAATGATTCGTGACGAGAAATTCTTCGGAGCACCGTATACATTTTTCTTTCAATCGTCTAAGATGTCGATATCGGATCGACGTGGGTGTTCCTTTTCTTTCCGACACACACACACACACACACACACACACACACACACACACACACACACACACACACACACACACACATACACACACACACACACCCATACAATACATACATACATCCGCGTATAAAGCGCGCGCGGCGTACACAGTGGATCCCGACTCTATCTTTTTAAACGCGCTTGGTATTTTAACCCTTAAATGCCTTTGCGGCGTGGTACATCCACCTTTCTTCTTTCAATATTTTTTTCTGTTGCTTATTATTTTTTTTATTAAGTTCTTTAGTGAAGTTCCGAAAAGAACTTAGACTGCCTTACCAGCGTGCCCCACCCAAAATTACAAATATCTACATAATTTGGATATAATATTAAAAATACGCGTATATTTTAATGCATGAAATATTCAATAGTAAATCAAGAGCTGCATTTTTAATTGAATGAAAACAAGATGAAATTATAGTAAATCTTAAGTTATAAAAAATCTTAAGAAATATGGACTAGTTATAATCAATTATGCTTCTCACATTCGACTATGATTGATCAATTTCTTAAAATTTGCACTATTATTGTGTTTCGGAACTAATTATTTTTTAAGCAGTATTTATAATGAGATGTTAAGGAGATCCTAAAATCGTTTCTGTTTTATCGATTATTTTCCAGGTAATTATTTTATTAATTTCTTTTACACATATCAGATTTAAAAATTGTCTTTTACAAAAATTATGAACAATAATAGATGCTTTCCATTTAATGACACAAGTCGACACAAACATCATTCTATTTTTCTTAACAAAGAGTAACAAGTATAGAAAGACACTTATGTCGACTAAAATTCAAGCTTTAGACTTTAAGGTGCGGTTTTACTATGTAACATTAATTTTAATCTCGATTTAATTTATTGTTCACCCTTTTCTAATTCTTAGAATCAGAAAAAGATAAAGAATAAGTTGAATGAAATTGAATGAAACTAATCTTCCAATAGTGGAACAAAAAATAATAATCAAATGAGAAGAGAATAATCGATTTAAGTCTTACAGCTTAAATTTGACGCTTTAAAATCTCATTACAGTTACCACTTTACCATAGATGGTTCTCAAAATCGATTTTGTTTCGATTTTGATCTTATCTGAACACTTTTGCTTCGCATCATTATATTCCTTATCATTATATCTATCGTTAATACGATTGAAAAAAAGATCTATAATATTGCAGATCTAATTATTACAGATCTATGAGATCTATAATCTACAATATATTTATTTTTACCAAAATGTAACCAATAAGTAATTGAATTGGATCAAATATATTGTTCCCACAATCCTATAATGTGACGTTTAAGAGTTAAGCGTTGGGGGGAAGTAGAAGATGAAATGGATAGGATGCATAAAAGTAGATTTTTGTGATTCAATTAAAAGAAAAAGAAAGGCAGGAAAAAAAGAGGGGAGAGAAAAAAATCATTATTTTCACATCTTTTGGAGCTTATATATAATTGCCTGATGATCATCATTAGATATTGGATTTTTATGTAGATATTTTTTTACAGACATGCACAGAATATACAAATTTACACAAATATGCATAAATAAATATACATTTGCGAATGTTTTTTTTAATAATACGAATTTATATTTTTATGTTACTTTCCAATCTGCTTTCTAAAAAAAATATGAAATTGCATAAGAATCATTATCTAACGAAGTTGCGCTATACACGATATAATACTTTATTTGATATACATTCTTTAATTTTTAATCACTCTATTACTTATATCATTAATTTTATAAAGAGCATATTCAACGAATAAAGTTAAAAATATCTTTTCACAAAATAATAATATATCGAAGTAATATAACATGCATTGATTTTACGAAATAATGAATAAGAGAGAGAGACACACGCGAACTGGGTCGGAAGTACAGCCGTTCGATATCTGAATACGTAATTACTGAATATGTAATTACTAGTAATATCAAAAGAATACTGTTAAATTATTAATTAAATTTATACCGCAAGGCTACCACACGCACGTCGTGTAGCGAAAAATGATAGTGAAATAAAGCGAGGGACATTATTTAACGAATAAATACAAATTTTCTAGTATTGGTCGTGTGCCAGTTATTATGTCCACACCATATTCCTCTCACCGCAGTCGAATTAATTTAACAAACCCAATGAAAAGAACAAATAGAATCGGGAGCGAGAAGAAGGAACAAAATTTATCATCTGGAACAAGCTTCACCGCGAGAGAAAAAGTAGCATAAGCGGTATATTTAAATCGATAATGAAAACAAAGAAGTTTTAAATAATTGCGGTTGCGGCTGCAATAGTTACAAAGGCTTTGCATAATGAAACCGATGCGAAAGAGAGAATTAAAATAAAGAAAATTACGAATGGTGATAAATCCCATTCTGTCCAATTGTTAGCGAATTATCCTCGGGAAAGAAAATGAGGATAAAAAGATTTCATTTGCATTCTTTGCTATCTTGACATCAGTCATGGTGAATTCGATTTGCACTACTGGATTAGCGTGCATTAAAGACTACTTTATATAAAGTATCTATGTAGTGACATAATATAATTAATTTTGAAAACAATACACGTACATCCTGTTAAATAATGTAATAGTATTATTATTCGATATTTAATCATTTAAAATATTTATATTCTTTTACATTTAATTTTGCTAATTTCATGCACAGCAGCTTTTAGTATGCACTTAATTCTGGTTTAATGCAAGCTACCGAATTCGCTATTAAAGAGATAAGATCGAAGTGACCCAGCAAGCGTTAAGTAGGAAATTTGCGTTTGAATTAAAATCTTTATTGTAATAGATATGAGTATGATTAACATTACGAGATGTTTATATATAATTCTCATCGTCATGGTGTTGACATAAATATGAGAATGTGATGAATTTAACACTTATGGTTAAATTCATACTTCTACTTTTTATTTTTGAACCATGATGTTAAATCCATACCACGCTGATGTTTATATCAATATTATAATATGGTGAGAATTATATTTAACACTCGTGGAGTTAAATCTACATCCCTATTTCTTTGTATTTATTAAACCATGATGTTAAATCCACATTCTAGGTAATTATACTTTCCTGTTTAGTGACACAAACATCATTTTATCTCTATTGGCATTTAGAAAATAATAAGATAGAATGACTCAAGTATCGGCTTATACCAAATAAAAAAATAAAAAAGCATATCCTATATGTTGATGTTTGTATCATTGATGAAAATTATATTTAACATCCATGATGTTAAATCCACACTCCTATTTTTTAAACTGTTCGAAACAATACAGAAAAGAGAAAATTATGCGTATATGTTTGTCTCGATTAACCGCATACGAAAACCGTTGAAATCGCGATTCCACTGTACTCTTTAAGAGTAACCAGGATGCAATTCTCGCGTGAACAACTAAGCGAGAGAACGAGATTATTCGTTTAAGAAGTTGCAAGGTAACGCTGCCGTTAGATCGACGGAACAACGACGGCACACTTCCCGCGGCGATCGATCTTAAGTTTTATGGCTCGACTCGCCATAAACTCCTCGCTTCCTTGCTTCCTTGCTTCGCATCGTACTTTCGTAGATTCGATTCTAAAATCTGCTCGCAACGCCGACTCTTCCGCGGCTACTCAATCAACTCTTATCTGAGCGAACGGGTTCGTTGGACTTGCAGAAGTCGCTACTCATGGTTATTGATGTGATATTAGTTAAAGTTTAACAAGCAGAAGGTGACGAGTTAAGTTTAAAAAGTTAAGTTTGTGAAGAGCAATTTATTACGTCCTTTATATCAGATAGGTTTCGAAAGTGACATAATACAGCATAATAAATTATAAACGTAAACTGTCCATCTAACGATCAATGTCCATTTCTACTAATGTAGATTCTATATTGTTTAATCTTATTTTAACTTACTTTTTATTTTCTTCTACTTTTCTTCTAAGATCTATAAGCTGATAATTCAATTTCAGTCGTGATATACGAATAACTAAATTTTTTAGCAGCGTAGCCAGTTTTAATAAGCTGTAGACAATATAAGTAAGGATCAAAAATTTAATTATTTTAGTAGTAAAAAGAATTTATTATAGTTATTTTAATAACAGAATGCGTTGCAATAATTAATTAACGCAAGTACATAATTTTTTATCGTGACAGACGAAAGTTTTGACGTTTCTGATAATATTATAGATGCCATTATATAAACATATTTTACTGGCACATATAATCTTTTCATATTTAAAAAACTACTCAGAATAAAAGCAGCATTATCATTTTTTATCTACATTAATACATTCTAATGAATTCCTTGAAGGCGACTTTAAAAAATAGAGCTTCAGTGTGATGAAAATAATTGCGAAATCTATCGTGATAATGTCAGTACAATTTTTTATTACGTGTAAAAATTCCTTAAGTTAAACACAGAATAAAAAATGGTACTATGAAAATACTCAAAGTAAATATTCAATTTACTTTCATCATGATGAAGCTCTATCTTAGACTTTT